CTTACTTTTCGGAAAACATTGAACGGTACCGGGAAGGGAGGAAATGAGGCCAACCGATTGCGCGAGCAGTTGAGATGCTCTTCAACGCGCATCGCAACTTCTCACAAAGGACACAAAAGACAGATGTTGCTTCCTAAAAAACACGATCTTGTCAGCTTCGAAACCACACTCGCACCTTTCGATCTTTCCTCTGCAGTCTCCGGCCTCCAGGCGTACCCCCAAACGAGAGGCAGGGACAAGCTCTAAAATCGCCCAAATCTTAAGAGCCGGCGTGAGAAACTACAAGTCCCAGGACGCGCTGCTGCCTCAACCAAACACCGGCCGACTCGCCGGAGAAACTACAAATCCCAGGATGCAGTGTGCGGCCTCGGCCCACGTGCGCGGCTCTGAGAACGCTATCCCTGCGGAAAATGGGTCAGGGTCGGCGCTGCATGCTGGGAACCAGGAGACCTGGTATCGGATTGGTTGAGATTTGCCAGTGATACTGGGAGAAGGGAAGGGTGCGCTGTGGCCGAAAATAGGCCGCGCCCTCCCCGCCTCGCCGGATACTAATCTCCCGCGCGTCGTACAGAGCGTCCGTGACCCGGCGGAAGTGATTCCTCCAAGTGCCCCGGAACCCACAGCGGCGGGCTTGTGGGGGTGGGGGGGTGGCCCTGGCGTGGGGGCTGTGGAGGTGCGCGGGGACCCGGCGCGGTGGCTGCGGTGGCTGCGGGACTGACGAGAAACTACTAAACTTCCTGTGCAAGCGAAGTAGAATTTCATAAGAACATAATGGATGGAGAAGACAAAACCTATGGTGGCTGTGAAGGCCCTGATGCCATGTATGTCAAATTGATATCTTCAGATGGTCATGAATTTATTGTAAAAAGAGAACATGCATTAACATCAGGAGCAATAAAAGCCATGTTGAGTGGCCCAGGTCAATTTGCTGAGAAGGAAACTAATGAAGTCAATTTTAGAGAGATAAAAAGGCGGAGGTGGGGCGGCGGCCGGGGGACGGGGCCTCCTCGGGGCTGAGCGCGGGGAGCGTGGAGTCGGGAGCATGGCAGCTCTGTGGCTTTTTGTGTGTGCGTTCCCCGAGTGCGCCGAGAGTCGCCCTTTTCTGGGAGGCAGTCCCTACCCCGGGGAGAGGCCCTCGCTCTTCCCGGCTGCGGGACCCCGAGAAGTTTCCCTTCTGGGCAGCTTACCGGGCGACCTCGGCCCGACTCGGTGGCTTGAGGCGGTCGCGCATCTCCCTCCCCGTCGTGTCTGGAAGGAGGTGTCTGGTGTCAGGTCCAATGGCCATGGAGTTTCTCCCCTGAAACGAAAACCTCGTTAGTAACCTATAGCTGTGGCGTTCGTGTCACTAATGCCAGTATTTCTGTTCTGCATCGCCTTCAGAGGAGAAAACCACCGAAATAACTAGTTATTTTCAAACTGCCAGGTTTGCTCTTTAATCCCCCAGTAGTTGTTTCCTTTTCTGTTTAGTGGACTAAAACGATAAATCTCTAACCTCCTTTACGTTGTCTGATTCATGATGCTGAAACATCGCAGTTTACACGTGGAGTCATTCATTCTGGAGATAACAATGGCAAGGCAACGGCTATGATCCAGTCATCGGGGATATTATCGTTTATTGCCAGTGATTTGGGGTTCATACTTAATTCTTAAGTGATTACCCTTTTTTCCTTATGTATGAGGCTTATTATCTACCACTCCAAAAAATATGCATTGTGTGTGTATGTATATATCTATGTCTATATATATATATAAATTTATTTCAAATTGAGTATGCCAGTTTCATTACTCTATGGTAGTTTTGTAATATAATTAGGCAATATAATAACTTGTGATCAGAAGTTAGAATCACCTTATATATCAAGTTCTAAAGTAGTATTAGTTTATGTCTTATAAAGTGCTGTTTGGCGTTTTTTGGTAGATTTTTCAGTACTTAGAAAATAAACTGGGAAGTCTTTGCAGTTTCACTGATACGTGTTAATGAATTTTAGCTAACCTGTGCTAAATGTTTACTGTTCATAAGGTCAGAAAAAGCCCAGCCCAGCCCGCTGGTGTTGCTCAGTGGTTGGATGTCAGCTGGTCATGGTTGGATTCCCAGTCAGGGCTCGTGCGTTGATTGCAGGCTGGGTCCCCAGTGGGGGGCGTGCAGGAGGCAGCGGATCCATGATCCTCTATCATCATTGCTTCTCCCTCTCCCTCTCCCTTCTCTGAAGTCCATAAAATATTTTTTTTAAAAAAGAAAGAGGATATACAATAAGCAAATATACAGTAGTTTCAGGTGGTGATCAGAGTTAGATCAAGATAGAGTGACAAGGGTGAAGGTGTCTAATTTTGATAGGGAAGTGAACAAAGAAGATCTACCTGTCTGAGGAGTTGATGTTTTGCCTGAAGACCTCAATAATGAGGAGGATATGAGGAAAGAAATTTAAGATAGCAGTAACTGCAAAAGCAAAGACCTTAAGGAAGGAATGAGCTTGACCTGTTATAATTCTAAGGATGCCAGTGTGGCTGGTGTATAGTGATGGGAAATGAGGTCAGAGTGATTAATAAGGACTACATAAGATGGAACTTGATACTCATTTTTCTGTTTGTAATGAGAAGCTGGATTTTGTAATGAGAGAGGATTTTGTACAGGGAAGGAACATCTGATTTATGCTTTTGATGGCTGGTTGCTGGGTGGAGAATAGACCAGATTGGAGGAAAGTGAGGAAACCAACTCCTAAGGAGGTTTGTGGTAGTGTAACCGGACAATCAATGGGTCTGTTCTGCCTGTCACTACTTGAGTCTAAGCAGAGATGGGGTTGAATCATCTGTGAGTGTTTATTCCAGTACTGCCGGCAGTATGGGAGAATAGCAGGTCATCCACAAAAATCTGCTCTGCAGGGCCCCCCCACCCCCACCCCATAAGCCAGCTGCTTATATAAGGTAGGACAAGGATTATATGGGGAAGTAGGAGGCTGGCGTGGGACTCCTTGTTTGGGCAACAAAGTTGTTAATCTTTCCATGATAATAGGCAATCCTTGAATGAGAATGGTTCCAAGGTTGACTCCCAGATCCTGGTGGCACAACTCCCAGCCAGGTCAGAATGTCCTTTCTCTAACCAACACAGGGCAATCATGGTTAACAGAGCATGATTGATATTTCCCATAACCATAGCTAGTCCCCAATCTTCTATTTTTGCCCCTAACAGTAGTCCAGTTGAGAAGTGATGGCTTGAACTAGAGATGTAGAATTATAAGTTAGTGAGAAGAAGTTTGATTTGGAATATAATTTTAAGATGGAGCCAAATGGTCTTGCCTTCATGTCTAGCCCCCCCCCCCCCCAATTTTTTTTGAGAAATCAACTGTTTTGCCCAAGCATCTGGGTGAACAGTAGTGCCATTTACTGAAATGAGGCTGGGGTGGATGCACTGGTTTCTAAGGAATAAATCGAGATCTGTAAAGGATGTACTGAGTTTGATCTAGTATACAGCTCAGAATATGTGCAGCAGCCAAGTTGGATTTCCACAGTTGTTTCTCAGGGAAGATGTCTGGCTAGGCTAGGGAGATAATCTGGGAGTCAGATTTTATAGGTGATATTTAAATCTTTGGACTGACGGGAGGACATTGAGTGGAGAGTGTTAGTGGAGAAGAGGGCAGATGTATGGGAGCACTCCAGTCAGAAGAGCCAGCCGTGATGGAAACAGAAAAGAACGTGGCATCTGTGATACTAAGGGAAGGAGATGTTTCAGGAAGGAGGCAGCAGTCAACTGTAAAGCCCTGCTTCAGTAGGATGAGGATTATATATTCATCATGTGACCAAATAAAGTAGTTGAAATTTGATAAGAGCCCTTTGAATGAACTAGTGGGCCAAAAGTGATTAGAGTAGGTTAAGAAGTGGATGGTGGTGATGATGTTACAGCATTTTTTTTCTTTTTCTTTTTTTAATATATTTTATTGATTTTTTACAGAGAGGAAGGGAGAGAGATAGAGAGTTAGAAACATCGATGAGAGAGAAACATCGATCAGCTGCCTCCTGCACACCCCCCACTGGGGATGTGCCTGCAACCCAGGTACATGCCCCCGACTGGAATCGAACCCGGGACCCTTCAGTCCACAGGCCGACGCTCTATCCACTGAGCCAAACCGGTTTTGGCGATGTTACAGCATTTTCATGTATTCATGAAAGTAATGATAACCACAAGCCCTGGATAGATGTGCTCAAGTGGAAAGGCTGGTCTTGGATAGAAGGATGGTTTCTATTTAATTTTTGAAACAGAAGGGTAGACAGACCATATGGTGCATACATGCAGGTAGGATGAAGGGGGAAAGACAAGGCAATTGAAGTGATTGTTTCCGTTTTTTGCTGTGTTTGTTTTTTTCACAGAGAGGGAGAGGGAGGGAGGGAGGGGGGAGAGAGAGAGAGAAAAAGAAACATTGATGTTAGAGAGAAATATCGGTTGCCTCCTACACTCACCCCAACCGGGATTGAACATGCAACCTAGGTATGTGCTCTGACCAGGAATGGAACCCACCACCTTTTGGTGCACTGAATGACACTCCAACCTACTGAGCCACACCGACCAGGGCTATTTCCATTTTCTTGAAGAAACAAGTGGTCAGGCCAGGGAGGAGATGGGTGTTGGAGATTTCGAGGAAGCTGTAAATTTTCTCAGAGTAGAAAAGCCATTTTTCTAGGATCAATACAATGTCAAGTTCCTATTTAACGTATAGGCATGAATTTAAAGTTAAGACCAGCCAAAATGGTTGTCTCTTTAGTTGAGACCTGAGCTAGGCAGAAAATTGGGTTTGGTGGAGGTCAGGGAGTTAGGGATATAAGGACAATGAGACGTGGGATGAGCAAATAAATATAAGAAAACATATAATTATCTACCATTCTAAATATATACATATAGTGTTTTGTTTTTTCTTTTTTATTTGTGTGTGTGTGTGTGTATATATTTAACGTAAGAACATTCAAACCTGTAAAGAATTTTTGTGAGTTATTTGAGCCAAACTGTTGACAATTTCTGGGAAGCAAAATCTTAATGTATTGGGATAATGCTCCAGAGAATGGCGGTTTTTTCATCTATTTTTTAAACCTTGCCGAACCGGTTTGGCTCAGGGGATAGAGCGTTGGCCTGCGGACTCAAGGGTCCCGGGTTCCTTTTCCGGTCAAGGGCATGTACCTTGGTTGCGGGCGCATCCCCACTGGGGGGTGTGCAGGAGGCAGCTGGTTGATGTTTCTCTCTCATCGATGTTTCTAGCTCTCTATCCCTCTCCCTTCTTCTCTGTAAAAATTCAATAAAATATATTTTAAAAAAACAAAAAAAAAAAACAAAAACCTTGCAATCAAAGGAGGAGATGGATGTGGGTTACATGAAATCCATTGGTGATAGATTAGAGATGGGGAGACAGTGGGGGCGGTCCTCTGGGACTGGATAAAGAATAAAATGATAGACACTTCTTTTACTTAGGTGGGTACAGGATAGTTAACAGTCAACAATTAACACGATAAAGATAACAATAACTGTGAAGGAGTTTGTGATATCTGTCCTGGCGCCCAGGGCATTTGGTTGTGCCCTAAGCGGGTCCAGAAAAAAGGGAAGTTACAAGTTATCCTGACATTTTAATGATACCTTATCTTAGATGCAAAAAGACTATAAGCTCTGTTAAAGTAAAGATTGATCTTGTCATGCCCTAGCCAGTTTGGCTCAGTAGATAGAGTGTTGGCCTGCGAACTGAAGGTCCCAAGTTTGATTCTGGTCAAGGGCACATGCCCAGGTTGCAGGCTCGAGCCCCAGTAGGAGGTGTGCAGGAGGCAGCCGATCAATGATTCTCTCTCATCATTGATGTTTCTATCTCTCTCTCTCCCCCCCTTCCTCTGTGAAATCAATAAAAAATATTTTTTAAATCATTTTATAATGCAAGAATCTATACTTAAGTATATACTATATAGTGGGAATACTTGCTCATACCTTTCAAACCAAAACAAAGGAATTTGGAGACCATTCTCTCAGGGAGATTAGGTAGTTTCCAGGGGTGAAATAGACTCAGTGGAAACACAAGGCTGGAGCCAGAAAGTTCTGTGCTGTGTGGGAGCCTCTCTGCTTAAGAAAGATGGGAAATTGGGAGTTCCAGGCATTTGTAGTAGAGAGAGGATGAATTTCTGATCGGTTCAGTCATGAAATGGTAGAGCTGAAAGGGACTTAAAGACGCAATTTAGCCCTTTTTTTTTTTTTTCATTTAGAAAGTGAAGAAACAGAAATCTTACAACTTAACCTATTTGCGTC